AGCACCAGGCATTAGTTTGGTATGGTGGTCGTTAATAGTACTAGAAAAAGAATCAATTTTCACCGTTGGTGTGTAAAAAGTATAACCGTTTGAAAACAAAAATATATGAATTTTTTAAGATGTTTTATATACTAAGTGACATATAAATCCGAACACCCAGTTTAAATGGTTTTATTTTAATAAAATTTTGTATAAATACTTAATGAAGCATAATAAGTAAGGTGGTCAATGTCCTCCTGTGGTAACCACCAACTCCTATCCTATCAAACTCACATACTCTAGGCATCGTAACCGATCGTAAAGGATGTCAAGAACCAAAATCCGCCAACATTGATTCTTTACTGCGGCTGAAATATTCATTTTTAGAACGTTAGTGAATTAAAAAAAGCAGTATAAAAACCGGAATGTCCAACTGATAAGGCTGAAAATTTTTTCACTTGTTATTTACAGTAAGATAAATACATTTACCAACTTTTATTAAAATGAAACCATTTAAACTGGGTGTTCGGATTTATATGTCACTTAGTATATGCTGGCGCCTTGAACAACAGCAGGATGCTTGAATTTGGTTTGGCGATTGTGCTATAGCGTTATACTAAACTCTTCCTTCCTCATGGACATTTTGTTTATTTAAAGAAAATTTTGTTATTTTTTTAACAAAGTCAGTTGTTATTATACGAAGTCACGACAGACTAATTCGGTCATACCTCGTACGAATGAGATAAAATGAATTCATGATGACCGAAACCCAAGAACTTTTATTCTAAAAAATTATACTAACGACCAGGAGTATATTCTATTCTATTTTATCTAGATGGACATTGGGGGAAAATTCACGAAAAATGAAATGGAAACCTACAATTTATTAGTGCTTCTGAAAGGAAATGCCCTTCCGACAAGAATTTTCTACGTATTTATTTTTCCCATATATGTTTATTTATCCCAACGTGGATCTCCCACTGTTTCTGTGTATCCATTTCTTCATTTGCAAAGAACCTAATAAACATAATTATGTTTCTTGCTCAAAACCTAGGATTTGTCTAATCAGAATTTCCAATCTTCCACACATTTGGTTTTCAGTTCAGATACCCTGAAGCACCAGAAACCCGAATATTCGAAAGTCATATTTGCCAGAAAACCACACAGATTGCACATATTTCAAAATATTTGGTCAACACAATCAATATTGGTATAAAAATTATAATATACAGGGTGTTTCAGTTTATTGTTGCATAACTTTAAGATTCGATAGAACTTTTAAAATTGATGCATAAAGTCTATATAAACATGGGTCGAAAAATGCGTGGCTTCCGAAATACAGGGTGGTTAAATTTACTTTCTAAAATAGTTTTTTTTAAATATTTCGAACAATATTTGATGTATAATAGCGAAAATTGGTATACAAAGATTTCTTGGTACGACAAAACGAACCATGGGCATAGTTTTACTGTAGCCGCTAGAGGGCGCTCTCTACTGTACCTGCAGTGTATTAAAATGACCGAAAAATTTTTCTTAGTGCAATTTTTTGCTTTTTGAATAAAAAAACTGATTCTTCGCACTTTTCAACATAAAAAAGCTATCCCGTGAGTTTTCGTTATAGTTAGCCGGTTTTGGGATATTTCGATTTTTAAGGTTCGATGCATTTTTAGTTATTTATGGGAAAATAATATTTTTTTTACATTTTCGATTTGGGCATTACAAGTAATTAAGATGATCGTTTAGATTGCGTTTTTAAACACAGCAATAATTTTACAAATAAACACAAAAAAACAGAATATTAATTTGTTTAATTTTCCAATATTATTTTTAACAAATTACATTAATTATTTACAACTAAAATGCTATTGTATAGTTAGGACAAACATACAAAATCTAAAGTAGTTTCTCGAAATGTAAACCCAATTGTTCAATACACATCTACGAATGATCGAACGTGGTATAGCATTATTCAAATAAGGCCTTATTTCATCACATGCATTCATGATTCTGTCTATTAGCATATCTCTTGTGGTTACGGGAGTCTGGTACACTTTTTCTTTTAGAAATCCCCACACAAAGAAATCTAATGGATTTAGCTCAGGGGATCGTGGAGGCCAGGCGACTGGTCCTACACGGCCGATCCATCTTTCTGGATAATTTTCGTCCAGCCAGTTTCTAACTATTCTCGAATAATGAGCTGGACAACCATCAAGCTGGAACCAGGCCAATCTTCTTGAATCTAACATAACATCATCCCACATATTTGCATGTTCAGCCTTTAAAAATTCCAAGAAGGCGCAGCATTTAACCTTGCAAGCAAAAGGTAGGGTCCAAATAGTCGATTACGGTAGATACCAATCCACACGTTGACACTAAATTCATGATGAAACTTTCTTTCCCGAACTGCATGCGGATTTTCATGCGACCAAATATGCTGATTATGAAAATGACTCATCGGTCCATAAAACGTTACTTAAAAACTCCCTATTATTATCAGTTCTATCAAGAATCCACTGACAAAATGTGATTCTTCGTTCTCCGTCCCCTGGCTGTAGTCCTTGCACAGGTTGCAAATGGTAAGGACGTCTATGGTCATTTCTAAGAACAAGGTGAACATGGCTTGCTGAAATTCCCAAGGCACCAGAAACTCTCCTAACACTTGTCGGATCTCTATCAAACTCACGCAGAATAATACGGGTAAATCTGCGATGACGAACATTTATGTTTTGATCCGTTTGGAGATTTCCAAAACCATTTTCAATTATTTGGCGATGCAGTCTTACAAATACTGAGCGAGTTGGATGTCGTCTGTTTGGAAATCTTCGTGCGTATTCTCTGGCTGCTTCTGCTGCGTTTCCATTTACAAAGCCATACACAAAATGAATATTCGCTAACTCTTGATTGGAGAATAAAAATGGCATTTTTATAAAACTTACAAAAAAAACACGTAAAAGAAACTAAATTTCGTGCATTCAAATTGCAAAAAAACGTTTCAGGTTTCAACAGACAACGAAACTAACTGTCAACTAATTGACGTTTAACCTTATTCTGCTTTCAATTTCAAAAATATTTGCAGGCACAGCCTACTTCTGAAAATTATCGAGGAACTGACCTTTTAACGTTATTTTATCAAAAATAATGAAAATGCATCGAACCTTAAAAATAATAACGAAAATTCACAAGAGAGCTTTTTTATGTTGAAAAGTGCGAAGAATCAGTTTTTTTTATTCAAAAAGCAAAAAATTGCACTAAGAAAAAATTTTCGGTCATTTAAATACGCTACAGGTACAGTAGAGAGCGCCCTCTAGCGGCTACGGTAAAACTATGTCCATGGTTCGTTTTGTCGTACCAAAAAACCCTTGTATACCAATTTTCACTGTTATACATCAAATATTGTTCGAAATATTTAAAAAAGACTACTTTAGAAAGTAAATTTAAACACCCTGTATTTCGGAAGCCCCGCATTTTTCGACTCATGTTTATATAGACTTTATGCATTAGTTTTAAAAGTTCTATCGAATCTTAAAGCTATGCAAACTGAAACACCCTGTATAAATAATACCATGCCAATGAATTTTCAGTCGATATCTTTAATATCCTCCTGCACCTTGTTCTTCAACAGTATCCATGCCTCAGCAGAACTAGAATGATTCAATATACAACAAAAAAAATTTATACGGGGCGAAAAACAAATATGTTTTTGAAAAGTACAAATAACCCAATTGCAATAACTAAAAAGAATGAAGATTTAATTCTGCTATCAAATAGAAATTTCAATGTTGAAGTTTGATCTTGAAATCCGCGAATTTGATTAAATAAAATTTCTGTATAATCGCAACCTAGGTCAAGACAAATCTAGAGACACATGTCAAAAGTTATCAAGCCGTTTAAGTTGTGGCGGTGAAAAAAAAATATCAAGGTTGATTTTTTTTATTAAAATCTCCCATTTTGTGTTTGCAAAGTTTCAATATCACCAGTATCGTCGCCACAGCTATCATCTCGTTTGGACCGTACCTCCTTCTGAGGCGTCGTGTGAAAAAGAAAACATTTTTGAACTTTGTTTAAAAAAATTATTAAACAAATTTGCACTAGGTTACCACCGGGCAATCACTTGATTCATGTTAAAGAGCATCCAAGACGTGGTTATGCAAAAACGAAAATCCTTCTTCGCAAAGACGCTGTTTTACTTGTCAAACCTGCTGGTGGGGAAATATTGTAATCGCAATTTTTTTCGAAAACGAGATATTATATCTTTTGGATGTTATATCACATTTACACGACAAAAAACCATCTTACTCATTTCCGTAGGTCTGTCGGGCTGTCCGCTCGTCTTATAGCCGCCTATAACTCGCCAAAACTTTGTTTTGTGACGTTTCAGATGATCATTTAAAAAAAATCACGAGTAAAAACTTGCCGGTGGAGGTTCCAAGGGCGGGGAGGGTTCATTTATAAATTTTTTGAGGCTGGTACACTTATACGCTCGCAATATTTCACATATCATAAGTTTGATTGACTTTTTCCACAGAGGCTCTAGTGCATTGATTCCCAAAGTGGTCTGTATCGACCCCTAGGGGTCTATGACAACCTGCAAGGGGTCTACGTCAGCGAAAAAAAATTTGGGGGTCCATGAAATGAATATGGGGGTCCACGATAGTGGATCTCAACACATGCACTGATAGTACCTATTTACTTACATCATACTAACTTATAATATCAAAACATATACATTATTTATAAAAGTACCTATGAAGTAAAAAATGTATTATATATGTTTATAAAATTGTGTAAGTTGTAGGATGTTGGTATTCGCTTTGTGGTCGCAATACATTTTGAGCTTGTAAAAACCTGAGAGACAATCGCCTATGTGCCTTTTATGCAACAAAGTTTTGGGCAATGACGCTATGAAACCATCTAAACTGCAAGATCATCTGAGAAAATGCCACTCTGATAAAACAGAGAAAGATTTGAAATACTTGCAAACACTCAAAGATAAATTTCAGAAGAGACCTACACTGGACAGAATGTTCGCTTCGACGTCACAAAGAAATGATGATGGTTTGCGGGCATCTTACAATATCTCGTTACTTATAGCAAAATCCGGAAAACCGCATACTATCGGAGAGAAGTTAATTTTGCCAGAGGTTTTAAAAACTGTTTTACACAAACTTGCATCTGATATCATTAAAAGAATTCCCTCAAGCAACAATACTGTTGAAAGACGTATTGATGAAATGAGTTCTGATATTGAAAGCTTCTTATGTAATTATTTGCAAACGACCCATTTCTCTATACAACTGGACGAGTCAACTTTACCTGATAATGCAGCATTATTATTGGCATATGTTCGTTTTATTATGAATCAAGAAATCTACGAAGAACTGCTCTTCGCAAGAACTTTGATAACCGACACTAAAGGTGAATCAATATTTCACGTTTTGAAGGATTACTTCATTGAAAAAGCAATTCCTTTATCAAATATAATATCAGTAGCTACAGATGGAGCACCTGCCATGGTTGGACGTTATCGTGGATTTATAAGCTATTTAAAACAAAATGTGTCAGGGTTGTTAGCAATACATTGCGTCATCCATCGACAACATTTAGTTGCTAAAAATTTGAGTGTTAGATTGCATGAATCACTTCATTTAGTCATTGATGCAGTAAACCGAATCCGAAGCAACGCGTTGAATACGCGGTTATTTGCGCAGTTGTGTGAAGATGTCGAACACTTTCATCAATTACTCCTTCACACTGTACGCTGGCTATCGAAAGGCTTATGTTTGACATGATTTTTTGCACTTTTTGAGACTATTTTAGAATTTCTGGATACTAAATATAAAATTTTAAAAGAAAATTTAATGAAGAGGACAACAGACATCGCCTATTTAACAGATTTGTTTGCAAAATTTAATATGGTTAATTTGCAATTACAAGGCGACAGTTTAAATTTGATTAAAACAAAGTCCATCTGATCAGCGTTTCTTGCCAGAGTTAAACTAGTGAAGCAAAATATTGGACGGGGCGAATTTTCTCAGTTCCCCAATTTTTCGCAGACAAGCTGCCAGGAAGACGACGTTTCAACTTACGTTCAACATTTAAATGCCCTCTATTTAGATTTTGAATCTAGGTTTGAGGATATTTTGACTATGGTAATACCACCGTGGATAATTAATCCATATGGTGACATAGAAGAAACGAATGTCATAATACAAGAGGAACTGACTGAACTAAGTACAAACGAAGAACTTAAGGTTCAGTTTAAAAACGGATATCAGCAATTCTAGCTGCAAAACAACATACCCGTTACTTATCCCGTATTATGGAATATAGCGAGGAAATTTTTAATTTCCTTTCCATCGTCATACCTAGTGCGCTGTTACCAATCTCCTAACGAAAAAAAGAAACAGACTGGACATCATTAGCCGAGGAGATTTAAGATTAACCCTTACAAATTTGACGCCAAATGTTGATAATTTATTATTAAAGCATCAGGTTCATTCTTCTCACTAAAAATATTGACTTATTTCTTATGTTATTTTATTTATAGTTTATTTTATGTTTATTGGTGTCTGACCAATAAATGCCCGCATTGGGAATAAGTGCCCGCATTGATTTTTCTAAAGAACCCCCTTTATAGAAAATATTTTTTTTTAAATTATGCTGAAAATTCAAGGATAGGTACACACTAAAATTCGTTAATTTTTTGCATATTTTTAGATAACTTAAACGTATAAGAAGCGGAATTTAATCAAACTAACAGTGAAATTATTGTAGAATATACGTTTATGTTTTAATTAATAAACGCACTCGCTTGTTGTACTATTTTAAGTAAAAAACTTTTTTTTTATTATTTTTCACTTTTTTTTTATTTTATCCCACTTATTTTTTTTTCAATGCGGGCACTTATTCCCAATGCGGGTACTTATTGGTCAGACACCTGTTTATTTAATGTTACGTATATTTTACATAACAGATACAAAATTTTATTTTGAGTAGTTTTAATTTAAATTCAATTAATAAATGTATAAATTAACATGCGTTTTTACTTTAAGTTTTTAACACTAAACTTCACTACAGTTAGAAATTTACAGGAAATCAATATCAGGTAAGTAGGGGGTCTACCCAACACGGAAAAACATGGCATGGGGTCTACGACACAAAAAAGTTTGGGGAACTCTGGTCCAGTGTGTGCTGAATACATTCCTTTAGCGTTGCGTGGTAAGTGCAGAGTCAACCTACTTGACGCCATTGTTTGCTTATTCAATTGGCCTGACAAATAAAAATCACCCCCAATTTTCGACAAACTTATAACGAAAAGCTACTAATCACTAAAAAAACGTAATCCTCTTAAAGCCACCTGTCACCTCAACAACTTATTAACTGTTCGCACAAACACCCATGAAATCTACCACCCATCCCATACCTAACGCGCCATGTAATCGCCGACCTCTATTATCATCTCTTTTACCCCAAAACTACACATATTCGACCCCTATTGCGATATTTGCTTTTTTGTTGGAAAAACACAGTTTCGTCCCAAATGCGGAGGGTGGAATGTTTACACAAAATATAAAAAGAGGGTTGTTTCTCTCTCTCGCATTCTCTAACTGGTGTTATTTTGGGGTGAAATATTGTGATATAATAATACGGCTATTGAGTAGTCAGATAGATGTTAGACGAGATTTGCTCTCGCGCAGCGGGGATCCGGTGGATCAAATTGAGCTGGGATGGTTGACGTTTTTATTGGTTTGATATGGCGTGTGGATTCAAGTCCTCACAAAGTTAAACTATTGTCGATACATGAATAGTGTGAAAGCTAGATGGTGCCATATTACATAATACTTATAAATGAAAAGAATTGCGCCAAGCAGGTTGACTCTGCACTTTGCACGCAACACCGCCATAAGGCTATAGAGGGGCAAGTATTACGTAAGCAGATTTATTACAATTATTTACCCCCCATCCCCCTTGTCAGCTAAAGTAAGCAAAGCTCTTACCTCTTCCACCATGCTTACGTAAACATTTGTCAATTAATGTATTGTTTTTTTTAATATTATAATTATAACGTTATAATTATAATGTGGAAAATAAGAAAATAGATTTAGGATAGAGATTATATTTTATTGATACGGCATTAAACATAGAGTAAAGGACAAAATATTATATCTTACTAACATAACAAACTTATTTTAAATTTTTGGTACATTAAATTCAAAATAACAGTCCATGAAACCCGAATCAATGATTCTAAGTTTGCGATGACATTGGATTGCTGCGATTGCTGCTCAGTGTTGTGATTTTGCTCGCTTTCATCGGATCTTGGAATGTCTACGTCGTCCTCATCGAGCCATTCAACATCATGGTGCAGTAAATTTTTAATAATGCACATCAGTTCATTAGTACGACGAGCAGCGACTCTTACAGGTCTAACTTTCCTATCAGTGTGCGTATTTAGTTTTTTATGGATATTTTCGATGTGACGATTTAGTGACTTGACGGAAGCATGATAAAGACCACACGTTTTTCATGTTCGACTTGATAGCCTCAATTTTACCATCGGACAAAAATAGTCGTAGGGGATTTGCAAGAAATCTTTGAGTGAAGCACTTAAGCGTGGAGTTAAATTGACTGGAAGATTAAGAAATTATCCTCCTTCATCCAAAACCAAGTCATCAACTGTTTGTTTTACTTTTACAGGTGATGGAAGAAACCTATCGTCTTATAATCTAAATAGGCCACTTCTTGGACGACAACATTCTGTATTTCTACATTTTACAATTTGAAGCAAGTATTGGCTCTCACGCTCATGTTCTGAATACCATTTAATGTCTGGAAAATCAGGAAGATCTTGTTCACCTGCCCCAACATATTTTGCATTAACATTATAGCCATCAATTTTCATTGAACTCCATACTCCAGCTAATACATTTCCTGCAAATTCGAAATTAGATCTTTCTAAATGTTCATCAATTCCAACGCCACGTTCATCCAAATGAGACCCAAAATGGTCATGAGGCAATATTAAACCAGCCAATTCCCGACTAAGAGGAGCCATTCTGTGCTCTACTCTGTTATACGCACTTCTTCCAGGAGCAATGGTAGCTAAAAACAATGCATCGAGATCATGTCGCTTAAAGTGTTGTATAGAAAGAAATATGAAGAAAAGTTAATATGAACATGTGAAGGTCCACAACAACTTAATTTTTTAGCTGAGGTTGTTCAACTTTTAAGAGATAAATCGGTTTATTTCATATATTTGAAATTACTTTAGATATTATTTGAAGTTAAGGCACGCTCTAAGAAAACGTAAAATGTGATATCTTGGTATGAGAACTTTTTCTATTGCGTTATCAGTGGCGTCAGTGCAAATAAAGGAATAGCGTGCGACTAGTTTTTTTACAATGTATCTATTTTACATATGTAAAAACAATCTCTTTGTTGCACCATTTGTAAAACACAAGTCAATATGTCTACTAAATAAACATATTGTAAATCTGGAGGCTACAAGGATTCTTTTAGTGAATGTTCGTCTAGATTTTGACTTCCACACTAACTTTGAAGGAAAAATTTCTATTTTTAAGAACTTAAAAGTGTCTGAATTGGAACTAAAATTAGTTGCAGATGTGTCGTCTTAGTTATAGTGCTCAAAAATAGAGTTTCATGACAATTTGGTTGCCGCCTTCTACTGATCATTGATGACTGTTTTGGTTCTCCGTCCTTTTAATTTGCAACGTGCTTGCCTATGCATGCTTGTTTCTTCAGTTATATCTAAATCTAATTTAGAAGATGTCTGAAAGTTTAAACCGTAAGAAGCCTAAAGTTTCAGTGCGTACCTCTCAGTATGACTTTTTGATAACGTGGATTTTCATCTGGCCCTCCATCAACCGTCATGATTACCACTGGTTTTACTAGTCCATGGTCAGTTTCAGCTAATGGTCGAAACTCTTCAAGTTCGAGAAGCGTGTCGAAATCCTGAGCATGAGTATTAGCGGTAGATGAACTATGCTTTCCACTTCGAATAGTGATGAATGTTGGTCCAGAATATCCAAGGGCTTGCGGTTGTCCTAGTATATTGGAAGTGATTTTGAAACCAGCATAAACAGATGGTATTAATTTATGACGCTCAGCGATTACCCAATCGTGATCAGGCAATTTGATTCTTTATTCCATGTGCAGTTACTCCAATAGGGACTCGAGCTATCATCTTGAGATATAAAAAATACTTGATCTGGTCCAAGTATGGATGCTATGTTCTCTAAACAATGGATTGATGTTTCAGCGAACTTGCTATCTAAGTGGCTCTTGTGGTGATCAGTTTGAGCCCGAATGAGCTTAACAGGGACTGTCGATACATGTCTTCGTCCCTCTGCAGAATTAGATTTTCTGGGAATTAAAGGAAGATATGTCCCACTGTGACTAATGTCAAATCCTATTTTACGTAATTCTTGTGTGAGTTCGTCAAGGGTTTTTACGCTGCGAATTGATTCCGTTCGTCTGCTATCATCTGCTGCACTCCCAAATAAAGCTATATCTGCGATTGTTTTCAATAGTGAATTTTGATTGCTTTCAAGATTAGGTCGTCCCACTGAATCTCTCACAGATAGTCTTTTTTTATTTCTGGATTTTCATGACAAATATCTTCTAACTTTCTTTTCATACCATCCCTGTGTTTCTTCTGGGCAACTGCGTTTTGAACCTTCCTGTTTAAAGACTGTTTTGCTGTTTTTATTTCCCCGCGCAACTTAATGATCTGTTTATCAACTTCAGCACGGCTTGGCATAGTATCTCTGACATAATACAAAGCATTTAGATTTTTTTCGAGTAGAGCAATCTTATTTTTCATAGCTTCCTGAGAAGGTTTTGCTCTCTGTTTATCTGTATTTTCATTAATTTCGCATTGCTGTTGTGATTCATTACCGGGTTTTATTTTATCTTCGTCGTCTTTTTTAATATTTGAAGCTGACTGTATAATTTGTGTTTTTTCTGCAGGTTTACAGGTTGCCTAAAAATAAAAACTTTCTATGGCTTCTGCTAAAGATTCTCTTATTAAACTACATAAATACAAAGTATGGCAATATATATGGTAAATACAAAACCCTATGGCTTTAAATGTAATGTGTTTAAACGAGCAATTCGTTCCGGTCACAAAATACAGGGTGTTAGTTTTCTGTATATATGTATGAAACTAACATTCTGTACTTTGTGACCAATTGACGGAATCAATCATAAGAAATAAATCTATAATATAATGAATATTACCTCTATACTTTGAGATAGGCCATAT